TTTTTTGTGTTTTATTGCAAGTTATTGATTTTTAGGACTTGGAGCAAAAAAAAAGCAAAAAGAATGAAATTTAAAGTCAAAATGGAGAATTAAAAAAAATTGTTCAGCACAGATGACACTAGACTGGGCGCCAACGGCGACATTTGACAGAGAAAATGGATTAATTAAATGGTTTATGGCGCCAGTGTCGGTGCAGACCATGTTTCTAGAAGATTCAATGAATTTAGACACTTTTTGAAGAGTTTTGAATTTATAGAAGATTTTATGAATTTGGACGCTTTTTGAAGAGTTTTTGGATGCATCTATTGGAGAACCGACCCTATGCTATATTTAGGGACAAAATTTGATCATAAACCTCGCCCCCCTATTTGCACCATTTCACATTCTTCACTCACTCAGTTATCCTCTTCTCACACCTAGATTCCACGCTATTAGATAGTTATTGTCTTTATAGCTTTGAGTTTTTGTGGTGAGTTTAAGTGTGAATTCTTCTCTAAGAAGTGTTTAAAAGAGAGAGAAGTGAGAGATTTCTTCTTCCTACATTTCCTAAGAGAGGCTACAAGGGATTTTCTTTGAGAAATAGTTTTAGAAAAGTGTTGTTTGTTTATTATTGTTGTATGAACTTTCTTTTATATATGAATTTTATGTTTTACTGTATCTTTCTAAGGAAGTCTGAGTAGATTCGTTTATCTTTCTCCCTACTCTGAGATATGGTGAAATGAAGAGATAATTTGGATGTGCAAATGTTAAAATTTAAAATAAATTGTGATGATTTTTCAACTACGCTCTTAATTTACTTTTCATTATAGCCAATTGAATTTTTAAAATATGTTGTGAAACATATGATCCAGGAAATGGAGTATGGGTTTTACAACAGAGTGAGAACCACATTTAAGTCCATGAATGACTATTTTGTTCATGGAAGTGCAAATAAATAGGAAAATATACTTTGTTGGGTGTAGAATTGGAGATTTCTAGAGTGACAGACTAAAAATCATCAATTTGATCTTAGTGTTTACAAACTAAAGAAAGAGTTAGCTTTCAGGGGAAGGGAAGTGGGAGCTTTGGAATGGGAGCCAATATCATCCTAGCCTAGCCATGGATTTAGAGACTACACCTAAGATTAGCCAATGATTTTCTATAACACTAAATTAGGGTAGAGAATTAAAATTACTCCTATTTAGCATAATGCAAATTTAAACCATTTATCTAATTTCATTCATATTTAAACCATTTATCTCATCTCATTTATCAAAAAGCTCATTATAGTGGGAAAGATGCTTTTTCATATAAGAAAACTTCATCACATAAACATAATTTAATAGTTATTTTTCTTAAACTCTGTATTTAAGTTTTGCTAGTAGTTAATAATTTAGTTTTGTTAGTATCTTACACATTCAAAGTTAGTGATAGTAATTTTGTTTGATATTTGTGAATTTCTTAGTTAATTTATCATTCAAATTTAAACCTTTCTCGTGGGATCAATATTTGGGACTTAAACAGAAAGTCTTATATTACATGATAACCATACGTATACTTGCATAGATTCCCAGTCTTAAGTGCTTAAAATTATTAATATTAAAACACCTCATCAAGATTTAATATCACATCCGGTTTTTTGCACCGTCGCAAAGTGGAGTCAACTTTATAAATTTTACACAACTACATTCAACCAGGATCAATTTTTTCTCACCGTTGTCGTGGAAGATAACGTTAAATCAAATAGATTTGGTAAATTAAGAAATTTAGAGATAAAAATATACAAAAATACAAAAAAATAATATATATAAATATAAATATACATACACACAC